CCTCACATTTAGGATACAAAGAAAACGAGGGAGATTTGACTTACCCATGGCATGCTCTAGATTTAAAGGATGAATTGAGGGGAACTAAAGAATAGAGTTCATCTGAACATTTGCTATGGAAGTAGTGATAGAGAAGTAATAAGTTTGCAAAATTGCATTTGTGGAAAAGAGGCTGCAGAGTGGAGAATGTCTCCCCCCCCCCACAAGACCATGTAAATGATTTTGACCTCATAGACTTGATAAAGGCTAGAAAGTGAGGACTGAATAGCGCCAGCCTAGATATGAAGACAATACTAATTATGGTCCAATCTGAACCTTTAAAAAGACAGCATGGTAGAAAGAATCAGGTAATTCCTGGAACAATAAAATGAGCTGACACATTACTAGTATCTTTAGCAATGGATCATATATATGAGTTTCACTTTAGGTCTGGAGTGAACTGAAGACCAACTAGACACTCAAAGCACTGACTCCCATCAAAATTACAATCATTACTGAAGAAAACACAAGGTTTGATCAGTGATGAAATGATAGTAGTTTAGTTTTTGAGGTACTGAAGATTAGAAACCATTTTTCCCCATTGAGCTGTTAGAGCTAAGTCAGAAATGTAAAGCTCCAATCATCTTAATTTTTGCAAGTGTGTCCATAACCTGGTATCATTTGAATATATGTTTACTAATAATCTGAGAATATGCTTAGGCAGATTAATAAAAACAGAAAATATGTATGACTGAGGAAAGAGCCTTAAAGAGTACCAGCATTGATCTCATGAGCTTCAGTAGACTATGCATATTAAACAAAATATATGGCCTTTTGCAAGCAAAGTTCTATATACCTGAATTGATTCAGGACTTTTTCTTTTTAATGATAATGGTCATATCTATTTCCATAACCATATTTTCTTATATTGATGCAAGTCCTTTTCTTATTACTCATAAAAAGTTTATGAATGCATGTGCCCATTCATAGTGTGTTTTGCTAACAGTTGTGCTGTAGATCATTATTGCATTGTAAGCAACTCTTTAAAATATTCAACTACAGAAGCTGTATGAATATTTGAAGATATGTAGTTGCAAGATTTTTGCTCTAGTTTTAAACTAGATTTTTTAACCATAGCTACCTAATAGAACAGAAAAAGTACAGGTTTCACACAATTACCAACAAATAAAGTAATTTTGAATTGTATCGTTAAACTAATTGATGATATTTATGACAAATTATTATTTAAAGAGAAATGCGTTGTATTTAAATTATTTCCATCAAAACATGCTCCACACACACACACACACACATTCAATGAACGATTCAATTTATGCATAAAAAGATTAAAATCAGATCGGATCTTACTTTCTAGTTAACAATATAGTAAAAGTTTCTTCCTGCAACAAGAATTTGAATAAAAAATTAAGGAATTGAGAAAGTTAGAATAATTTACAATATTAAACTTTGTTTTAAATGTATGCGCATTTTACCTTAATTATGCTCAGAACACTATATAAAAAAACCATAAACATTTTTTTTAACTAATCACTATAATTTACAAGTTTAACAAAAGATTTCAATGCAAATTAAATGCTTTTTTCAGTATTTATCAAAACAAAATTGATAAAATGAATATGTGTTTTACATTTAATTTTACTGAAAGCCATTTAGAAACCTAAACAATTTTTCACAGCAAATTGTAATTAAATGACCTATTGCATATGGATAGTAGTTATCTTAAATTTACAATTATTTTAGAAGGCACTTAAAATTATACACACTAACTAAATTTTACTAGAATCGCCTCAATACAATTGCTCTCTTTCAATTGAAATGATCTTGAATCTAACAAAAGAACTTACCAAAATACAGGGCAACATTTGGCAATTAAAAGCAAAATATTTATACTGAAAGATTATTTTGTAAATGAATGAAAAAGGACAATTTTAGTTTCAACCTAAATATTCTTAATTCCCATTTTTGTTAATTGATATAGCTTAGAATTAATTTTATTTAATAAAAGTATAAAAGTTAACTAAAAAGTGCATCAACTGTTAGCAGAGATAGAAATTATAAAATGCAATTATTAAACATGAGAAAAATTAAATTTTTTTATGGAGAGGATTTTTGGTTTTTTTAAGTAAGTGTCAAAACAAATGATTTATGATAAAAGAAATACTCACTATGCAACGAATTCTTTGAAGAATACAGGCTAACAATATGCAGAAGAATAATACTTTAATCATTTCTTATAGTTTCTTGGATAAAAAATAAAATGCATTAACACTGGTACATAATGAAACTAAATAGAAGAGCAACAGGATTTAAGATCCTTCAATCAAGTGTTACACCCAAACACTAACAACAGTCTTCCTAACAATATTTTTTGGAATTTATGCACAATGCAAAACTGTTTAAAAAAAAAGAAAAAAAAAAAAGAAGTATAGTGATGTTTTTTTCATTATTCAGACTTCTCTGTAAGAAAAAAAAAAAAAAATCTAGAACGAGAATTTTTTCCTAACCATCATTAATCATTTGAACTACACTCAATATATATATATATATATATATATATATATATATATATATATATAAAATAACCATTTTTATATCTCATTTCCAAAAGGCAATTTTTAGGTCACGATAACAAACACTGAGTGTTCGTTAAACTTACAAATGGTAAGTAAAATTTAGTGTAGTTTAGTGTATGGTTAAAAACACAATTGGTACGGTTTTCTGTGTAAAATGATTTATAAATTGGAAAGGATTTAGCAATGTAGTTGCAAAAGTTGTGATCAGTTTTAAACACTTGAATCTAACTAGAAGAAAAATAAAAAATGAATGCCTTATAAAAATCCGAAAAAACGTACAGAAAAAGACACTGTTACAAACATCAAGACCACACCCAAGTTACAAACACAGACAGGCAATGTGAACTAATAAATCAATTACATTAGCTAAACCAATTATTTAAAAATAAATAAATAAAAAATAAACACAAATTAGCGAATTACATACAGGACAATTTCACAAGACTTTTTGTTTGTTGTTTAGTTTTTGGTAGTGAAATTGGACAACAAAAGTAAAACTATCCTCTAAAATAGTGTAGTACTGTAAAGTGAAATAAATTTTATTTTAAATCATTTGAACTGGAAAAAGGTCATGTATAAAAAAGTGATTTCAAAATGAATTATGAGGTTAGTTTTGAGTTGACAAGCTAATACACATCCATCGAAAATGAAGGGAAACAAAAATTTATGGCTAAGTTACTAAGTAATGTAACTTTGAATTACAATTATTTAATTGAACGTAAATTGTATTCCATATGCTTTTGTTTAGTCATTATCTTTGCTACTTGAGTTGCATTTTTAATGCAATTAAAATATTTAGAGAACTACCCAAAACATGAAGCAGTTTTCGAATATCATTTTTCGCGTAAATAACAATGGTTAAAAAGATTAATAAATGCCGAAAAATTATATAATCCTTGTAATTGTAGGCTTAAAAATAAACTCATAACTGATTTTTTTTTAACTATTCCAACCCAAACTAGAAAATTTGATAAAGCAAGTAAGTTAATAAATTTCTTACAAGTATGTTTATTTTACAGTACTTTTACAATAGACTAGTGAGTGAGTCTCTAGACACTTTTGGATCACATAAGCCAATATAACATTTATGGATCTACATTGTCAAAAAGAATCTTAATAAATGATTAATTCTATTTTGCATAATTATACACTACAATTTCTTTCCGCCGAGTCACGAATATGTTTAAAAACAGGATTAATATAAAAAAGTGGGGTAGCGTTTGTCTTTTTAGAAAGAAAACGACTACTCGGAATTTAACTACATATATTATTAGTATTTTACAAGTTGCATTCATTTTTCCCTTCAATTATTACGAGAAGTTAAATGTAAAACAGGAAAACGGTAAAAAAAAAAAAAAAAAAACAAACAAACAACGCTTCTTTATTAGCAATTCTCAAAATCATATTGTTACATTGTACAATGTACATCGTGTAAAAAGTGTCGTTTCCTTTCGTGTGACGACTAAAATGTCACATTTGAAAAAAAAAAAATAAACGTAATGGGACGACTTTGAGGAAATTGTAAAAATAAAATAAAGGTATTCATTAAGTTGGGAATAAGTATAGTTGCTCGGTAACATTTGTTTTTCGCCTATTTGAAAAATAATCATTTCATACAAAAACAAAAATTAGTGATGCATATGTCTTTAAGTAGGCGCATTAAGATTTAAAGTAAAATCATTCACATCATAGCCACTGTAAAAAAAAAAAAAAAGAAGAGATCTGTTTGATATTTTAAGACGAATAAGATACATAAGGTCAGAAACATTTCATGGAGACTGAAAAGTGAGGAAGCAAGAAGTGGTCATGATCAGCTTAAGAAAACATCGTCAATGTTTTCTGGCTTAGAATACTAGACTTGATTGGTTAAACGACAGCAATATATTAAGTCTTAATAGGCTATATAACTGTTCATTTTAAATAAATATATTTTTAAAATCTTTTCTCACGGATAAATATGCGTGTAAGTGTTGCATATGAATGGTTTATTTAATGTGTAGAGTAAGATGTATTTACAAAGTCAGGGATCCAGTTACATAACGTTACATATTACAAACAGGACCCTCAATTTGTAACCACCTAGTGGCAGTTTTTGAACAGAACGAGTTTTTACTATTTTCACTTTTACCTATCTAAAAACAAAATCGTCAATATTAAAATATTCAGATTTATTTCAAGGGTGTTCAAATGTTAATCGTAATTTTATTGCTTCAATGTCCTCGACATTTAATTAAGTGCAGTAATAAACGATAAACATCAAGCTTTCAAGCACAGGCGTATGATGGAACGACTATGCAAGGTGGCTACAAAGTCAGAGGTCAATTTGCAATAATATGTGTATAATAAACAGATCCCCCTTTTTCTGGCCGCGATTTTCAGAGAGCGAGTAATGACTGCCATCTAAAAGACAGACACATTTCCCCTTACCTGACAAGTTAGATTCTTTTAGTAAACATCCTGATGTAACATCATAAACTTTTAAAGTGTGTACTTTTGTGGCCACAATTACTGTATTTAGCGTAGGGTGGTAAGTGACTCCAGTGGCTGGTTCTCCTACAGATAAACATCCATCTTCACCGACATACCACTTGGTCGTGGCCGCCATCTTAGAACTACCACTCTCGCCACGGCCGCCTATGACATCACTCATACCGAGATGAGATTTTCATAAAAATCCCTAATTAACAGTACATTGAAGTATTTTTTTTTCCATAATCCCATGATAATGTTATATACATTTTCAAAATTAAAAAATATTCTATATATTTTCTTTTTCTTTTTGACAAATATCGGCAGTTTCCGTTATGAGCTCAATTATTTCGTAGAACTACGTCAAATGATCGAGGCTAGACGTATATCAAATTATTAAAATGTGTTTTCACTGTTTATAATTAAAACCCAATTTACTTTTTACAATATATTTTTTTTACCGAATCTATTTTATATGTAATGTTTTCGAAAACAGTATTTTTGTCACAACTCATTATTTTTATTATTTTAAATGTCGCACAGGTAAAGAGAGTGCGCGAAACAAACTTAGAAGACTAGAAGAGTCTGTTAAAAAAAAAAAGTAAATTTTATTTAAAGAAGCATGCAACCGGTTTTTACGTGTTTCTGATATTTTCTATTATAAAAATATCTTTGATTGTTGATTAAACTAAAGCTATTTCAGTGTGTAGTTTTCAATATATATGATAATTTCCAGCATTATTCCGCATGTTAAATTTTTTGTTTTATATTTGTTTCAGTTTCAGCGATCGCAGAATTAGTTACTACATCTCTGATGGTATTTAAAACTCAAAGCAAGTCAGCTTAAACGAAACAGACTTTTCCTTTACATTTTAATGGGTAATTTGAATATTTATTCAATGAATTTTCAAATTATATAATTTCCTTTAATTTAAAAAATGAAAATTCTATGATGATTTTCAAAATGTATTTTATTCAATCATTACTCTTGTTCTTAAATTAATGAATAAATGAGGAAAAATAATTTTACAACTTGCATCGGACTTTTTTAGAGCGGCGTTTCGTTTATCTGTTTTTACTTTTACATCAACCTACTGACAACTTTTTCTACTTCCTGTGGACAGTGAGACAAGTGTGAATTCTTATAACAAGGATCCTCGCAGTAGTACTTGTACAAATTGGTGTGGAAAAATCTTTTTCTATTAATTAGTATTTATTTCTTTACTATTGTCAGCCACTTGTTTACAAAATGTCTGAAAGTTACTCGGTGATCACAGCTCCTCAAGTTAAGCTTACAGTTACCAGTAGCATCAATTCATTTTCGTCTCTCAGGCGGTTTTCAAAAAGTTTGACTATTGCTGATCTTAAGGTTTGTTTTTTTTTTTTTTTTTTAATGAATATTTAATATATTGTATTGTAACCAATTGAATAATTATAACAAACAAAAACAATTTTATTTTTAATAGAGATAGCAACAATGCTTTTTTTCTTGTAATAAATTATTTATGATGAAGCCCGACTTCAGTCTCTAGTTGTATTGTATCAGTAGTTAACATTGAAAAGTTTTTTTGTTTTTTTTTAGAAATCTTGTGAAAGTTTTTTTTAATCATTTTTAATGTAATTTAAACATTTTAAATTATTTTTAATTACATTAGCATAATTCTATAATACAAGAAAAAGTATTTTATCACAAATATTCCAACATTACCAATTAATTCAAAAATATATAAAATAAACTCCAAAAATGTTATGGGACCTACCCGTAAAAATTTTCATTTTTTTTTTGTTTAGTTATTCATTCACGTTTTCTCTTAATAATAATGTGATGTTTTGTTTTTAGATTGTGCGAGAGTGGGGGTGACGTCCTTAAGAAGAAAATAATTTACAGTTTGGAATTCACTTTAAGGATTAAAACAAATCTTTTATGGGATACCATTTAAAAAAAAACAAAAAAACATTTAAAATTATCAAATTATGAATTCAGATTGTAACATCGAAAATTATTCTTTGATAGCTTATGTTCTGTTTTAACTTGTTCAAACAAAAAAAATTGAGTCTCCTTAGTCACGAAATGAAGAACATAGGATTTTTTTTTAAAGATTTAACAAACTGGTAAATTTACTTTTTAAGCCCCACACTCATTTACACGGAAATCTGACGATTTGGGAAACAGCGTGGGGCTTAAAAAGCAAATTTACCTTAACCACTGAACATCGCATTTGTTGGTTAAGAAGAAACTTCTATTTTCATGAATTATTTTGTTTTTGTTTCGTTTTTTTGAAGAAAAACTAAATCATTCAATATTAGTTATTTATCAAAATAAAACAAATGGAAATATTAATCCTCAATTGTTAACATTATCTGTGAATTTCTAATTAATCTGAACATTATGTAAATTAAAATTTTAGTTTTTTACTGATCAAAACGACAGAATCGAAGGTTATTTTGTTCAGTGAATAAATTATTAATTTCCAGACATGACCACTTTTACCGGAATTTTGTCTTTTATGAATCTTAATCTTTTATTAAAAATGATCATTTTTATAAGGCTCGGTTTACTTTATGCAGTTTTTTTTTAATTTACTTAATAAAAATCATCACCTCTCAGAATATGAAACATAAAAATAATTAATAAATCTCTTCTTGTTGGTCTTTTTTTATTATTCCTACAACCGGCAAAAGCATCAGGTTTGTAAATATTGTATGGCATTTTTTCTTAATTTACTCATTGCTGGCATGTAAAAGTATTTATTTTCGTTCTTATGAAATTGACAACGAATTCTGAGTACAAAAAAAAATCCTTGAAATTAATAAAAAAATGTATTACCATGTTGGTGTGAAATATAACTCAAATCAATCAATTTCTTTCCTATGGGTCTATCTCGAATTAATCTTTTTGCACTATGATGTGCTTATCTTCACTAATGAAAAAAATCTGGAGTTTTAGTCCTTGCAATCACGTGAAGTTATGCCAGAATGCTAGTCGAGTAATGATCACTCTCGGTTGGGCCTATCATGGGAGAGAAAATCTGATGTCATGGAGGCCCCTAAAACTTTCTATAACCCCAGAGTCTAGACATCACTGAGGAATCATTTTGGTACGCAATATATGCGTAATGAAACGAATCCCAGAATGAATAATTATACTTGAAGATTCTTTTAAAGAAAAAAAAACTATATTCTTTAAAAATTAAGAATATACATAATTTTTTTTTGTTTGTTTTACTAACCGGCATATAAGGACCTAAAATTAAAAAGGTAATAAGTTGTATAAATTAAATTAATTTATTGTTTAAGATCGATCCTCTTTTAATTTTTTTTTAACCATTATTAAATTTAAATAAATTCAAACTTTATGAACATTTCAGAAAATTAAACGGCTTAATTAAAATTTTCAATTATTTTTTATTTTTTTTTAACTAAAAGAGCAGATCTATGGGGTTTTCTCTAAGTTACAAAAACTTGTCTCCCTCTAAAAATCTGAAAGCAGAGGAATTCATTGTACTCTTCTTGTGGTAGCCTTGGTGGTACTGCACATGAACATCTGGTAACTGAGACTTGCCAGTGCTGTAAATCAATATCAACATTATTGTAGTCTTGGCAGTAGACAAAACGATAAACATAAATAATTGCAATTGATTTTATTAAAAAGGAGGCTATTTCTATAAATGATTGCAAAGTAAAAAGTTAAACATTAATTATATCTGCATTCATTTCTTAAATATTTTCGAAACATCTAGCATATTGTTCGTTTAATTTATTTTTCTTTTCAGTTTATTTGCAGAATAACGATTTCTTATAATATTAAAGCTAGTTTTATAGAATGTTCTACGACTTTTAGCAAGGCACACGAGACATTGACATTGAATTGACAAGGGCACATAACTCTCGTCATTGGCTTAAAAAAAACAGGATCAAAGAAAGTGATATTTTGTAGCTGGAAAATGAACCAAATAATTTGTTCGAATTTTAAAATAATTAAATTTCTACCAGAAAATATTTTATATATAAACTTTGAAAAATTAAAAAAAAAATCTGTTAATTAGCTGATTTATTTTACTCTTGATGAAAAAAATGGAGTTTTTACAATGTAACAATGCTCTTATTAGCTTAATCAGATATTATTTTCAAGCAAAAAGCTTCCTATTTCTGATTATATTTATTTCATTGTTTTATTTCACTTTTATTGTATTCAAGTTATAAAATATTGTTTTTATTTATTGCTTTGGGTTTAATGTGAAATAAGAATAAATATTTGCTCTATAAGATGATAAAGAAATGTATTTGTTTTAAATGCTTTGAGTGAGGAAGATTAAAGTGAATGATAAGTATGAGAAAAAGTGCAGGGAGCAATTTTAAATACTAAACTAAAAGATTAAAGATGACTAAAAAATTATATCCCGCTGAGAGGAAGTGATTGAGCAGTCAACTGTATTTTTTGCTACATTGACTTCTATGTCATTCTTTGGCAAGATATAACATCTATCAGACTTTTTACAAAGTAAAAGTTTATCTGAATAACTGCTATTGGGCCAAATATTAGGTTTCTTTATCAAAATTAAATTTTTCGTTTCATGATTTTTAACCCTAAATCTAGATAATTCATTTATCGTCTTCAATTTGCTCTAAAAAATTTTTTTTTTTTTTTTTTTTAAGATGCTTGTATTTTTATACCTCTCCAAACATAGTATTGATATTAAAATGATTAACTCTATTTTTCCTTTGATTTAAAATTCTTTAATATATTTGATGGCATTTCAACAGGAAATATTAAGAAAAATATTGTTACATAATAAATTGAATGTTACTGGAAGTTCATCCAAGTTCCCTATTTTGTTCAATTCAAAACAAGTTCCTGTTCATCCATTTATTACAAATTTATGAAATTATAATATTTTGGAGAAAAGTGTGTCTTATATACCATCAAATATGGCAACTCAATCATTGCTCAACTTACATCATAATTTTAAATATATTTACACAAGATCTAAGAATAAGCGTAATCTTTACAGCTAAAGTGATGAAATGTTCATTGAACACTTAGTTAAACATTTTGTTTAAATATTTATTCTATTAATATCTAATGTTTTAAATGAATTTATGATTTCAGTGCAAGTTGGTGATGTTGACTGGGGCCACTCTGAACATGACTTTAGAGCTTTATAAAGACAAAAAGTTCATATGTAATATAGATGATGACACAGCACTCCTTGGATCTTATCCTGTAGATGATGACATGATTTTACATGTGAGTTGAGTTTTTTTTTTTTTTTGCTTGACCTCAGTTATAAGGTCACTGATAACATTGAAGATAGAGAACTATTTAACTTCTTTTACTCTCTGTTGTGATATATTCAGTGTCAGTGTTATTTTAATTTTTTTTTTCTTTTCTAAGAAGGCTTTTATCACATTAAAACACCAATTTTCATACAATCACCAAAGTTAAGCCTGGTCAGTACCTAGATGGGTGACCATTTTGAAATACCAGGTACTGTAAGCTTGAATGTGCATGCAGTATAATGAATAATGATTTGGTGTTGTAAGTCTGAGTAGAGTTTCAATTTCAGTTAGGTTTGTTATATTCACTTACACGCAAATACCCTTGTGAAATGTATGAATCCATCTCTTCTCCCCTTAGATATGGGTTAATTAGTAGTACTTGTATCACTAAGTCATTATTACCTCCAAAAATTCTTACAATCAAAAAATATTTTCTGGCTTTAAATAACCTGCAAAAGTTGATAAGCCATAAAAAACAAATGAATCAATTTTCTAAGAATATTTTTAAGGAAAACCACTTTCTACCTAACATGTTAGTTATTTGATGAATGATCCAGATTACCAGTTCTATTCTTTGACAGAAGAATATATAGAAAAATGTTATCATTACCTTTGAATATTATATTAAATATGGAAAACAATAGTGTTAATATACCTAGACATTTTAATAATAATAAACAGTTATTACATGTTAAGTACAAAATTTGTTTAGTTCAAGAGTATTAAACCTGCAATGATTATTTTTCTTTTCATATCATACTCATCAATCAAGTGATTATATATATATATATATATATATATATGCTGGACTCTCCTGTCATTTATCAATGTATGAAGGTCAAGCAACTCAATTCCTAGGAACCAACTGCCAGACACCTGCACATGTGATTTGATTATAGTGGTAAATGCTTTGTGGAGAACCAACCACCCTTTTTGAAGGGCCGAATACAGAGACCTGGTGCACTATGTGCAATATGCTCCCCAAACAACCCTCCGCATGTTTTGATTTCAGAGTTGTCCTCCTATACCAGTTGCCATCCAAGGCTATAGAACCCAGTCTGTCCTGTTATTTACCCATAAATGGGGGAGGAGAAGAAGAGGATTCATACCATTCCCAAGGATATATAGCATGTAACTGATTGTAAATGGATTTGACTGGAATTCGAACTCTACTCTCCGATTCCTCAATCCAAGCCACTATCCATTACGCCACTGTGCCTCCATGAAACATGAGAACTCTTATGTAGCGAAGGAATCATATTTTTTAACAAAAAAATATTATGAATGTTTATACATTCTTTGTTATTTTTTTACATTTGATACGCCATGAACAGATATGAATTGAACGTGAGAGATTCATGGAAGATTGAAGTTTAAATACAGTAAATTTGACCTTGCTAACTCCATTTTTAACTGAATTTTCTCTGTGGCCAAATCGGTAAAGGCACGCAAAGCTAAATGACGGTTCCGTATATAGGAAACAGGTTAAAAAATATATATATATATATATATATATATATATATATATATATATATAACCACTTGCTCTGATAAAAGAGGTGGGATTGTGATCATAAACAAGAATGCATACATAGAAAAAATTAATTCACTACTCAATGATTCTGGCACATATGAAAAAAAATAAGCAGAAAATAATTACTGAAACACAAAAATTTAACAAGGAGATTAGGAAACTAATTAAAAATAAAATCAAATCGTGGTATAGACTCATAGAATATCACTCTAGAACACCCAGGCTATACAGTCTCCCTAAAACCCACAAAGCAGGTATCCCGGTGTGCCCCATCATCTCAGGAATAGACAGCACCCTTACCTCACAAACTGGCGAAAGCCATAACAAAAATTTCATCCCCTCTCCTTGGAACAATCAGTCCATCTCGTATAAAGATCTCATGGCCAGTCTAGATATAAAAGTCCCAGTTGAAAAATGTCTAAATCTCCTAAAAAAAACATCATCAACAAAGGCAAAGCTCTCCCTACCAACAGCTAAGATAATAAAAATCTGCCATCTCATCACCAACTAATGCTATTTCACATTTAATAATGTTGTTACAAACAAAAATTGGGATTACCAATGGGATCACCCTTTAGTGGAGTGATGGCATGTATCGTCTTAGAATTTTCTCAAATCCAGTCCTTTCCAAAATATTTTACCCAAACAATCAAAACAATTCCGTTATATTGATGATGCTTTACTTATATGTCCTTGTGATACTGATCTATCTGACCTAGTAGATGAACTAAACAATGTTGAAAACACAATGGAATTTACATACAAAATGGAAGAACACAATTCCTTACCCTTCCTAGATATGAAGCTACACTGCATTAACAACAGTTTAATACTTCATGTCCGCCGGAAATCAACCAACAAAAACTGTCTAATAAATTTCTATTCTCATCATAACAACAAAATATATACTGGTATAATCATTGGATTCTCCTTAAAAGCAATCAGAATTTGCAGCCCTCAATATTTACAGGAAGAGGAGAAATACATTGAAAAGACTTTCAAGCTTCTTCAGTACTCTAATTATTTTATATTTAATATGAAAAAAAGGCTCATATAATATTCCAAAATAGAAAAGACAGCCTCTCCTGACAAACCAAACTAATCAATATATATATATATATATATATATATATATATATATATATATATATATATAGGCTCGATCCTGGTTCATGGCAACATATGTAACCTTTTTGTTATGGTCAGCACAAGGTGGATCCTGGTTTGATCAGTGGAGTGATCTCTTCGATCCTGACCTGCCTTATCCTGCGTTGTGATTCATTTGATTATAAGGAGGCCAAGATTGATGCGTTGCAGGTGAGTTCGTGTTGGGCTGGTCAAAGTCAAATGAAGTTGTACAATAAAATTGGAGAAAAAACAGCACTCGAAATATGTATAAAAAATAATTACTACTTTTATATCAATACTGCATACAATGTTTCGTTAGTAGTTGTGTTTGCATACAGGTGTTTGTCAACCCAACCCATTCTTAAATCAGATGCAACATTTGGGTAAGCTGGTAAGTTTTGGATTGTGGAGTTAGCAAAATTTGTTTTACTGATTTGGTAAGTTTAGCTCATGGCTGAAGAGGTTCTTGTGTTCGGCAGGAGTTGTGGAATCTCTCAGTGACCTCCGCCACTTTCTTTCTCAGCTCTCCACTGTTAACTCTCAAGTCTCAACTGCAACTCTTAACTAACTGAATTGCTTTTACACATTCATTTTCATGGACTCCAACTCCAATTTTGGGGAATTCTTCTTTTCTCATGGGAGATGGTTGCAGGCATTACTCTGCCTGACTGCTTCTACTATCTCTTATTACCATCTCCCACCATTGCCTTCCAGTGAGCAGCTCCTTCAACCTCTTTATTGTCTCTTCTGTGCCTGCTACCCTTCAGTGGCTGCAGGCAGCCCCTCATCCTTCCTTGATTGACCTTCTGCACCTATCACCTCTAGTATTCGGCTGGAGATTAATTAAAAAAAATTATGGTTTCAAATGCTATTATCTCATAAGTGAATTGACACAACAATTGGTGTTCTTGCCTTTGACCCAAGAAACACTTTTCCAGGGAAATTTTTGCGACTCCCATTATGGTGACAATTCATTCAGCCAAAAGTCACCATTTCACAGGTGTTCAATTTGTTATTTTTCATTCCAACATCCCACAAAATGAATTCGTTTAGTTTTAACCCAATTCTTCTCAGGTCAGATCCAAGCATTGTTTGCTGAAAATTGTCAACACTTGACCTGTTTGCACAAACTGAGAATTGGTTTTAGATGGTCATCTGGTCTGTTGTACATATCTTGATTCTCTGGGAATAATTTTATCAGTCTATCTATATTAACCCTTTTCATACTAAGTTATTCATCATTACATTATCTCGTTTTCATTGATATTCCAAGTCGCCATTATTATTATTACCCAACCCAAATAATGTTTTTTTATATATATATATATATATATATATATATATATATTTATATATATATATATATATATATATATATAAAATGTATTTGTCCTATCAAATAACTCTGTCACATCTACAATTGGAAAGAATCTATCTAAAACAAAAGACTCAGCCGGTACTAAGCAAAACAATAAACTAAAGCTTGAAGGAGGAATTTACGTGATCACCTTTAATAATTGTCACAAAAAATACATAGGAGAAACCTCAAGGGATCTAAATAAAAAATTATATGAACGCTCACTAACATTTTACAAGACAATACATCAAATGAATTGATTGCCAGCTGTAATGAGACTGACAACAATTTTCTCATAAAAAATGCTATGTTGATCAGAGAAGAAAACAATTCACTACAATGAAAATGTCTAGAAAGTACCTTGATCACAAGGTCATATACAGTAAATTGCACCCAGACTCTTAGAACATTTCATCATTCTTGGCAGAACTTCTATTATCACAGTGTGGAATATCTACTCACAATAGTCAGGGAAAGAAAAAGAATCTAAATGAAATCGGCTAGATTAAAAAAAAATGTTAATCAGAATCACCCCAAGTAAAATCACTAAAATACAAGGTTTTACAGGGAGAATTAGGAACAGAAATATTAATGATGAGAAGATAGTAATCAGTTGGACAGTAGATAGTGATTGACATTACACTTAAATTTTTGCAAATAAAAGTTGGCTGGAAAATATGGAGCCAGAAAGAAGTTCCACAAGTGAGAAGTGTGAGAGAAGAAACTGTTAGAAAGAATTTAAGACTACATCTAGCCAGCTTAACTGTAAATTGATGGTATCTCGATACCAGTCTAGTGCTGTGCTTAAATTCAAAGACTCTAGGTACCATAGCAAAGATCTCATTCAAACAATTACCATGAAAGTATTTATAGAAAAGACATAGTGGGAAAGTGACTGGAGCTGAGCCACCAGATCTGGACCAATAATATTGCAGATTTCTCTTTGGAT